GCTCTGGTTATATTTTCCCATTACCTACACTGTCCCTTCACACTGATTCCCTTCCTAGTCCCTTTACATGAGAGAAAGTGTCCCACACTCAGCCCTCCAAGTCTGCCTCCCTCCTCTTCAGAGGTGAAACACTCAAGAATCAGCACCAACACTTTTGCAGTCTTAGCCATACAGTGCTTATCAATGTAGCGTATTTTCACTCACTCACAGGGCTTTCCACTTGTTTAGTTTATAAAATTACACATGTCTAAAAACTGCCTCAGCCATCCGAGTCTACAGCATAAGCGTTAAGCTCCTATTGCAATGGTACCCAAGGACCACTGCTGGTGCACCCGTGTCTCACGGGCTGCTCAAAAGCCAGCCTTGGTTCGTGTGCCTCTGGTGGGTGTTTGGCAGCCTATGGTTGTCTACAGGGCTGTCACAGAAAATGGTTATAAAGATGGCTCAGTGGGTAAAAGTGTCTGGCCCCAAGCTTGAAAACCCAAGTTCACACCCCCAAGAAGGTAGCAGAACCAACCCCCTTAAGTTGTCCTGTGACCTCCACACTTGCACTGTGGCATGCGTGTGCATATGCACACACACACAAACAAAGAAATGTAGAGAAGGAACAAGAGGAAGAGAGGGGGGATGGAGACAGGGAGGGGAGGAGGGGGAGAAACACATCTTGTACAAGAAACCAGGAACTCGTAGTTCAGTGTAGTTCAAGTTTCCTCCTCAGGTGTTTTTTTGTGACTAGATCATGTTACACAGCGTCTCTGAGTCCCACGGAAGTGAGCTTCCTAGTAGCAAGCAGCGACCTTATTCTCTCACAGCTGTGTCCAGCAGGCTCCCTAACCCACAACCACCTACTATGCTGTGGCACTTCCTCAGTGTGACAGGCCCTCAGGGACCTGGGAGACAGGCCCAAGCTATCCTGTGGTGGGACAGCTCCGGTGTCCTGAGCAGAGGCCACGCTTCTCTGCTTCTCTCTTCAGATCTCCTGGGGTTAGAGCAGTCCCGAAACCCTCAGGGGAGAGCTAAGGAGGCAAGGAGCCACACCCTGACCTCAGCTGTCCCCCAGTACACTAGGATATCCAGTGGCCTAACTTCCCGTGGGGCAGGCGCAAGGGCCTTACGAAGGTCAGGTGCTTTCTCGCCTCGCACAGACCCCAATTTCCCCCTCAGAGGGGATTTAGCTGAGGAGATGCTGAGAACCAGGCTCATCTCTGGCCAAAGGGTCACAGGGCTGGGTGAAAAGCACCTTGCTATGGCTCCGTGTCTCATACCGTGTCAACCTTGGTTTAGGTGATTGTGGGAGGGTGCCGGGGATGGAACTCAGGGTCTTATGACCACTAAGCTGGCTCTGAGCACTGAATCACAAGCACAACCCTCAGCCTGGTTCTGGATATTCCATTTCGATCCTCAGTTTGCTGATAATGAATTAGACTATTTCATCAAAATTGGGGTGGGGGCACTGTTCTTCACGGATTAGCTCCTCCGGCAGGCTGTGTCTGGTCAAGGGCCGAGTGCTCAGCTGTTTTGGCACAAGGGCATTGTTTCCTGTGTCAGTTCTAGCAGACTGTACTTGGAGATGTAGGAGACCCCCGCCCAAAGGCATCGCCAAGAGGAATGGCACTAGCCTGCAGCCCTGCCTCAGGCTGCCCTGCCAGCCTCCAGCTCACCCTCACTTGGTGGACAAGTTCCTACTACGCACTCAGATGGAGCGCAGACACCCTGCTCCTGCAGGCGGCATTCTGGCTCCAGCTGCTCTTCCAAACGGCTTCTTTTCACTTGCAGTTGCTTCCAGCTACTCTGCCAGGCCCAGCCAAGAAGCGGGCTTGTGTTTGGGGCCAGCTGTTGGCAAACGAGCTAAATTCTCTGCATCGATGGCAGCTCTGTCAGACTGGCTACTTATAGAGGCTGTTTGCATAAAGAGTAACCTTTACTGCTTTTATAGCCCAGGCTGGCTTTGAACTTGCAGCGCCTCAACGAATTCTAGATTCAGACTTGCACTGCCACATCTGGCTTGTGTAAAAGGCCTTGCTTCAGTGTGTCTCCAAGATGCAGTGAGGGAGGGCTTGGTTAGCTGATACCGCTTGACATGGACTCCCTGACCCACTTAAAGGGAGGTGATTCGCAGGTGTGAGGTTAATAAGGAGCATAGAATGGCAGGTCCTTCCTGCTCTCTGACCCCAGGAGGGACCAGTCACGGTGCCTCAAAGGACAATGGATTTTAAAGGGTATGGCTCTTTGTAAGCCCACCACACTCCAGGAGTATAAGGGTGACACAAATTGGAGTCACGGTGTGGGAGTGGAGTGAAGGGAAGGATTCAGGGGATGAATATGACCAAAACACGGTGCATTAAATTCTCAATAGGATAATTTTTTTAAAATGACCTAAGGAAAAAAAGGTGTGAACTGTGTTAAGAGGTCACCGGAGTAACTTTGTTTCTGATATGGAAGACTGCATGCAGATCTGAAACAGGAAATGACCAGTGCTCAGGTCAGCAGATACACAGGAAGTGCTCAGCGGACACCTGGAGGTGGTGCCACGTTGGGGAAGGTGCACTCAACGTGTTTTTGTCACTTCTCCTCGACATGTGGTGGCTTGAACAGGAACGGCCACCAGAGACTCCTGTGTGTGAACGCTTGGCCCATAGGGAGTGGCACTGTTAGGAGCTGTGGCCTTGTTGGAGGAAGCGTGTCACTGTGGGGGTGGGCTTTGAGGTCTCCTATGCTCAGCTCTGCCCCGTGTGGCACAGAGTCCTGCTGTCCGAGGATCAAGATGTAGAACTCCAAGCTCTTCTCTAGTACCACGTCCCTTGTGTACCACCATGTCTGCCACCGGGACAATAATGGACTAAACCTCTGAAACTGTAAACCAGCTCCAATTAAATGTTTTCCTTTATGAGAGTTTCCATAGCCATGATGTCTCTTCACAGCAATAAAACTGAGACCCGACACTAATGGGCTCAAAGCCCACCCTCTTGGTCAGCATCCTAGTGTTCTGTCAGGGTCCCTGAGCCCTTGGATTTCCTGAAGGGAAAGAGTAGGATCAGGGAGGAAGAGAGAAGGATCAAATTCAATAGCTTATTACTGAAGGCAGAGATGTATTTGTATTTCACACCAATTCCTGATCAAATGTTTTACGCCACCCTTCTTTAAAATTAAAGCCGGGGACCTGAGAGATGGTTCAGCGCTTGCGAGTGCATCAGTCCCTGCAGAGGACCTGGCTTCTACTCATGTCAGGTGGCACCAGCTCCTGGGAATCTGACATCTCTGGTCTCCGCAGGAACCTACTCATATGTACATACCTACATACAAACATGTAGGAGACCGTAAATGTTAACAATTAAAGCCAGCAGTAAACACTGCCTGAAGACCAAAACTGGGCCTGCAGCATCCCTCCATGACGCCACTTGTCACTGCCGTCCTCATGAGGGCTAGAAGATTGGGTCGGCTCAGTGAGGCATCTCTGGCCACGGGTACTACCCATTCTTCAGAACCTCCCGGATGACCCCACCGAGGCCCATGGTCGCTCTGTCAGAGCCAAGGACCCTGGTGCTCTGGGCTCTCTCCAGCTGAGAGGGCAAGCAGCCCAGTGCTGGGGGTCTCCTGATGCGCACCATGCCCAGGGACGGAAGGCAGGGCCATGCAGCATTTTGAGGTGCTGCAGATGGAGACTTGCCCCAATTCTGGGTGTTTGTGCAAAGGTCTGTGAAGAGTTCTTAGAGCTGAGCCCCACTGTCCCTGTCTTCTTGCCACCTGTGCCTGTGAAAGGGACTCCTCACCTTCGCCCTGGCAGTTTTCCTCCTGGCCCCTCTAGGCTGGAGTATTGTGGCCCCTGGACAGTGCTCCTATGGGACGTGGGAGTGATAACCCAGAGGGGGCTGCCGTGTCTCTAGCTCTGAATTCTCTCCCAGCCTTTGAGCTCTTCAAGATGCCTCTCCTTCAGGAGACAAACGGAAAACCCTGAAATAAGTAAGGAGCTGGTATTGCTGTTGTGAGCTGGAGATGATGTTATCTGATGCATGAACCATTCTTGCAAAACTGGCCAGTGACCCTGAACTGTCAGAAAAGCCAAGTCAGCCCCTAATGGTTGTGAACACATCTTCAGCAGAAACAGGAGACAGGTGCACCGCAGCTACAATTTCAGTAGTGCTTCCAAGAACAGAGTAACCGCATCAACTTAGAGGCCCTCAGGGGATAGGTAGGTGGCTTCAAAGCCAGACACCCTCATGCCCCCAGCCCTGCTGCTGACCAAAACGGGTTAAACTCTGTTATGAGGAAAGCATCCACGTTGCCCCGCTACAGATTCTATGTAGCATCTCCACCCCACCAGTCATATTCTACCAAACAGGTCTCAGGATGGGCCAAATGTTTCTGCCTTTGTAGCATACTTAGATGTCCATGAGCTTGTGGACCGACTCACTCCGTCTCAAGTCTCCGATGCTTTAGGATACAGCTTACAGGGAATGGCATTAAGTCTCATCTGGAGTCAGCAGTGTAGGCAGCTTCTCAGACCCTGCAGAGTGGCTTCTGAGGCTCAGTCAAGGGTTCTTGCTTGACAGGAACATTTTCAAAACGTAACATTCTTTATGTGAGTCTAAGCTATGAAAGAATATACATAGATGGCTGTTTGACATAGACTAGTGCAGGTATACAAGATGGCTCTTTTACTGTGGTTTTCTAACTATAACTCATCTCCTTAAGAGGTTGGTAATATTTGCCGAAACTAGGGTTTAGAACGTTGTGGTCATTACAATTTCTAACAAGTGCCAAGGGCAAGACTGCTGCTGACACACAACTCACACTTCTGCAAGAGCCCCAGGAAGACAGGGCCGAGGCCAAGAGCCCCAGGAAGACAGGGCCGAGGCCAAGAGCGTGCTGGCACACCCATCAGATTGGGCACGAAGACAAAACTTGAAAGCAAAAGTGCAACTCAATGCAAACCCTTTTTTCCATCTTTTTACACCCCCCAGATCCCAAACCCACCTAGAAAGTACACTCCAGAAACAGAATCAGCAGTGAGGTTTTTTTTTTTAATTCAATTCGTAAAGAACAGTTTAAAAACAAAAATGCTAGTACACTCTTAAAACATTGGCTTCTTCATCTCACAGTTTATTTGCACCAATTGTTATTACAAAAACCAGAAGTCATTGCGGTATTTGCAGTGTAATCACTAGTTGCCTAAACAAAAGCTAATCTCTATAAAACCATAAATTTAATGCATTTTAATAAGAGAAATCTAAAGTTCTCTCAGTTAACTGGATATATAGTGGCATACATATTTAAGCAGAAAACCTCAAAAAACAGTAACAAAAAAATAGGTCACCATAATAAAATATTCTGACCCGACAGTTCCTACAAACAGCAACTTCCACTATATATAAAGAAAACCATTGTCTGTGGTAAAAAGTCTAGAGACCAAGTAGAAATGTGGAGTAAAAACACAACAAACCCTAATCCATCTTGGGCAGAGCTTGCTTCTAAGGAAACACAGGCAGTGCGAGCACAGGGAAGGGACGATCTCCCCGACCACCCAATGCGCCTGCAGCAGTGTCGCTGCAGGACGCTGCTGGAAGGGCGCTCCTTGCACAGGAAACAGCGGTGTTGCCATGAGCACTACAGCAAACAGGAAAGGTGAACAGTTTGAAATGATGCCCACGTGTCACCAGTACCCTCATTTACTAAGGAAACCGTTCTGCGCAAACAGAATTCACAGAAAGACGGCAATGTCTCATGACAAAGAAAAAAAAAAGAGGCTGGTGTCAAACAGGAGAAAGCTCCAGAGTGCATCTTGCAGGAGAGCTGCCACCCTATGAGGACGGCTGTGCACTGGAAGGCCCTCTGCACAGCAGCACTCATGAGGAACCGTGTGAACGAACCCAAGTACCTCCCCAGAAAGCTGAGGCACCAACAGCACAGGCTGTGCAGCTCCGTCAAGCTGCAGTGGAGCTGGGGTCCCCTGGGCTCAGGAGCCATGGTGCAGCTGCATGGTGCCCAGGACAGCACTGTCGTAGCGCTGCTCCACCCGCACACAGCTTGAGTGCTCAAGCACGCTGCTCAGCTCAGGGATGCTCTCGGCAGTGTCCCCGAAGCCATGGTAGTGTCCATAGTGCAAGCTCTCCCCAACGTCCCCCACCCAGGACGGCCTGCTGGCCACACAGCTACTTGGGCTCCCATTCAGATGCAGAGACCCACACATCTCAGGGTTAACGCCTGTGGTCTTTTCTGGCTCCTCAGTCCCATTCGCAGAGACAGAACCCTGGCCACTGGGAAATGGCTGTCCATTGCTAAGTCCATTAGATCCTGTTAAGCACGGGTTACTCCTGCTCTCCATCCCATTGAGTTGGGCCACGCAGGGGAAGTCCAAATGTCCATTGATGACACTTCCGTTTGTCAATGTATTCAACACGGAGCTACCGTTTCTCACATCTGCATTAAGAAATATACCTGTCACCAAAACACAGACCAATGGGGAAGGAGAAACCAGCATATGTTCAACTCTTGGTACAAGTATAAAAGACTTTGGTTTGTGTTGTTGCTATTTTTTTTTTCTTCTGAACAAACCAATTCCTTTTTCAAGGTCACACAGGCAGATTTAGAAGTAAACCACAACTGTAGTAGGTATTTCAGTAGCTTTGGAGAGAGATCTAAAATGCAAGCTGTCATCCAAAGTAAACACAGAGCAGTAGATACGTGTCTACTAAAAGCAGCCTCAAAGAGCAACTTCCATCACCACCCCCGGGAGGGTTCATCAGAGCCCAATAGAATATTCTGTACTTAAGACAGAACTTTTCTAGTTAAGGAGGAAGTGGGAAAATGAAGTAGTTCTGCCACAGAAGCTCTAACTAGTGTGCCACTTGGGGGCGCTTCCCAGTGAGGGTAGCAGACACAACTGATAAAAAGAAATGTCTGTCCTAGGTACACCCACATGTACGCACAAGCCCACAGATGCCACTCAGAGCACTGGCACAGTGCAGAACGGAACTATAGCAAAGGCTGCCTACACCAGTGGCCCTGACAGTCTTGGGTCAAGGGTAGTTCTGACAGGTTTCTACTGAGTCCAGCAACAAAAATGACCACGAGAGCCAAGGCCTTATATCTGGTTATTATCAGAAACTATTTATGCTGACAGAAAAGTGTGGATCTATTAATCCATGACTCTAAGTGTCCACTGACAAGATGACAGCTGTACAGAGAACAGCCCATCACAAAACACGGGCACACAGGGCTAGAAAGACCGAGAATGTTGATGCTTGCAGGAATTCACACAGTAGGACAAGAACTATTTCTTGCTTGGAAATATTGAATTTTATCAATGCTCTGGGCTACTAAGAGGCAAAACCCTAAATCCACACAAGCTCAGCTCAGCTCTAGTGGCTGGAAGAGGAAGACTGTGTCCAGCACAGGAACTTCTTCCTGTGCCCCGACTGTCTGTGTCCTCTCTCAAGGACTGTGGTTACTAAGCAAACAAGACATCAGATCCCCCAATCAAGTCCCCACACCAAATTATCAGTAATCATAACTTAGTAACTCCAACACATTCAAAGGATAATTTACCCCTATAATTATAGTTTTTCTCTTTAAACAATTCAATTATTAGAAAATGAATATTTCAAGAACTAGGAACAAAATGTAAAAAAAAAAAAAATTAAAAAAAAATGAAACAAGTTATTCGTACAGGGGAAAACTATACATTATTTTTTCCAAAATCAAGTATAAATCACCTTAGGTGATAACTCATAAATAGGATGGTGAATTTCAGTTATTAACGCCTATGTACACAGTATTTTCCCCCATTTAATGCACAGCTGAAGCAAATCCATTTCACTATGTAATTTCAAAACAGGGACCTGGCAGCCAGCACTGTCTGGGGCGGTGTACTGACGTCTGAAGGACAGAAGCCCGAGATTCAGACAGACAACTCTGTCAGACGAGCAGAGACAGACAGGTAGATAGGCTGAGGCCGGGGAGAAGCCCCTGACACTCACCCCACAGGTCTCAAATTCGGTTCATTGACAATGTGAAGGCATCACTTCTCAGCTTTTCAAAAGTGTACAGACTACGTTTAAGGAGGAGTGCCCAATTCTGTACAGGTCCTGGGCAGCAGTCTCCACAGGCGCGTTGCGCATACAGATGCTGATTCACACAAGGAACTGGCAAGACTCTCTAGGGATTCCCAACATGTTTCTTCAGTCAGACAGTACTGGAAAACACCAGAGGCCACATGGCCTTCTGACAGCCAGAACAAACTGGCTTGAAAGACAAGCCTGGCCATGAGTTTAGCTCAGCCTGGCTCTAACACTGTCAACACCAGGAGACAGCTCACTCCTGCCTGACCAGGGAGGGAGCAATGCTGTCTTCATAAACAACAGGCTCTGGCTTTTGTCACACTTCCTTCTTTAGGCAAGACAGCCTCTGCACAGAAACCCTTGTTTAAAATGTGCTCTCTGAGCAACTGTCCATGCTGAGAGCACACACCTCATTGAATTATATTATTTGGTCAGGGGTAACAGCAGCCACGACTGTGCAGAGCAGGTTCTGAGCATGGAAATATTTTCTGTGGGTTTGGAAACACACAGGTGACCTTTTATTCTCAGTAAAGAAGTAACATAAAGACATTCTAATAAAACCTTTTTATAAAAAATCATAATAGTTAGATTTTTGTTGTCACCTAAAGAACAGGAGAAAAAGGGCACATGCCAAATAAATACATCATTTCAGAGATCCTAAATCCTGGAAAAATTGAGCTTCTTTGAATTTAAAACTGTGAAACAGGGGTTATATTTTAATATGCTGAACATTTTAAACATGTAAAACACCGTTGAAAATGGTCAGCATTTCAACTGTCTTCAAGGGAATGCCAGACACCAAAGCAACCAAGAGCATGGGGCAAATATCCCCAACGTGTCTGGAGTGGGTCACAGCCACCACCATCCAGTTCCCAGTGTTTACAGTGAGTTGTTCACCTGCTGTACTGCCTTCCACGTATAAGCAATAGCGTGTCAGGAAACCACAACTGCAGACCTCATGAGAAACAGGCAAGGCACATCACGTAAAAGCTTCAAATCAAACAGGGAGATTGCACTAATTCTTATAGCAATAAAATTCACCAAAACCGCTTAATTCTTGCATCTATACAAGTGTCAAAAATGTAAATTATAATAGAACATTTTTTTTAAAGACACTGGACAAGAAAGTGCAAAACTTAAGAACTTAGAAATAGTAAGCATACTGATTCTTGCAACGACAAGGGGTTTGCATTGCTGAAACAGTATATATTTCTATTTCTTTGGGTCCAACAGAGCCCCTCTCCTGTTGTTTGGTGTCTTCGACCACTGGGGTGTTGTTGCAGCTAACAGGAAACTGTCCACTCCCACCTGATACAGCAGCAAACTCCCTGTCAACATGCATTCTGTCAGCGTCGTCTTCAGCCTCACCATTCGCTAGTGGCATGCTGTGATCCAGGCTTGCAACTACACAGGAAACAGGTGATTTTAGATTTTTGTGTTAAAAAAAGAAATCAAAGACATGCTTTCCATCCTCTTTTATCTACACTAAAAGCTTTTCAACCATGAAATAACTTAAAGAAGCAAAGATCTCTAATGGATTTTTCTATTATTGTAAAATACTTTTTATAATAAAAAATGTTTCATTATTCAATTTCAGCTCAAAGTCATGAATTCTATATTTTTGCTCATTTCCTTGATGACAAAAAGTGTAATTCGTAAGACTGTTCTCTGGGGAACACAATGAGTTTATATAAGCTGCAGATAATTCTAAGCTGGTCCTGAAACCTTCCCCCTCCAAGTTGTTTAATGAAACTTCCTGAAGACAATTCTTAAGATGAAGCATGTAGAGCAATCTGGACATTTAAAACAATCCACTAATATCACTGAAAAATTTACGGAAAGGGGGACGTTCAAGCACAGCTTGTCTAGAGGCCCGCTCCCCAGCAGACAACTGAAGGCACACACTACAGCGTCTGACAGGGAGAGAAGCTGCCACTGCGTAGCTTCACTTGCTTAGACTGCCACTCTGCGGCTGCAGATGCCATCACTGTCCACTCACCTGGCCCAAGCCAACAAAGAACCTCACCTGAAGGAACAGCCCCTGTCTTTGACAAATGCCCTCTAATTTTAATAATTATGGGCCTCTTTCCTTAAAACAAACAAAAAAACCCCTGCTCCTTCATGCTGTTTCACTGACACATACATCAGTCTGTTATTCAAACATGAAGAGTGAAATCTGGGTCCTGGTGTGGCTCGAGCTCGCAAGGAACAGAAGCAAGGGGATCTCTGAGTTTGAGGCAAGCCACAGCAAGATCTAGGCTAGCCAGGCATGCAGAGTGGCCTCTACCTACCTACCAACCTTCATCTGCAGAAAATTTTATGAACGTCAAGACGGTCACTCTTCAAACTCTAAAAGCATAGTCTTAAAAAGGGGAAATGCTGGCTGTGGTGGTGCAGATCTTCAATCCCAGTACTGGGGAGGCAATGGCATGAGAATCTCTAAGTTTGAGGCCAGCCTGGTCTACACAGTTTGATGACAACAAGGCCTACATAAGAGAGACCAGACCCTGTCTCAAAAACCCCACTGAGTACAAAGCAACAAGAATGGAAACCAAAAACAACAAAAGGGAGAATTATTGAAGTAACCTAACTCAATGTCAGATGATAACCCTGCACCACCACACACCATTCTGCAGCGGTGACAATACAAGAACAGCTGTCTTCTCATGAAAACATGCCAGTATCAATGATAATTTTGTTGTTTTTTGGAGAAAAGATCTCATTATGTAGTTCTGGAACTCTGTAGACCAGGCTGGCCTCCAACTCACAGAGAACCACCTGTCTCTGCCTCTTCAGTGCTGGGATTAAAGGTGTGTGTCACTACAGCCAGCCACTGACTACTTATACTTTCTGTCTGGCATAAGGTGGCCCTCAAAGTTGTTTTTAGCCATGAAAAAGGAACTTGACAAGAGTCCCCCAAAAGGTCTCACCTCCAGTTCTAGCTTTCTTCACTCCCAAAGATTCTGAGTCTTCCAAGCATCTCTTTCGGTTTGTTCCCAGGCTAATGTGATTGGGAAGTATGCTCTCATGACCTCCACTCAAGGCGCCATTAGGGCAGTAACGGCTCATTTGATGGCTCTGGAGGCTCAAGAGAAACTGGGTGCACTCTTGGAAACCTTGGGTTTGTGCAATGTCTGCTGGCGTCAGGCCGCTGGCATTTCTCAGGCTGTACAACACAAAAACAGTGAATTACACCCCACAGCATTTGACCATGGTGTCTGCTCCTGCCAAGCTGACTAAACTATCTGAAGGTCACAACAGATCTACAGCAAATCCTCATTATGGGAGCAGTTAATCAGCCTGGTCTGTAACTAACTTCTCCTACACATATTTGATTTGGGAGACAGTTAAAAAAAAATCAATATGCTAATCTTAAAAATGTCTCTTCCTATTTGACTTCTCAAAGTTGTGTTTTATGTCAGTCTGAAGATCTAAATTTACTCTAACTTCAGACTTCACCTGAAACAGATTCTGTATTAGCTGCACCTAATGTTAAAAGCCCATCCTTTAGCTTGAGTAAAATTATAACAAACAAGCATGTACTGACAACATTGTCCATGGCATTCATATCAAGTGTTCCCTGAACGCAAAACGTCACAGCTTAGCAACAAGCCAGATTTCTGGCTGATATGTGACACTCTAAGTGGAAGTTCAGAAGGCATCCTGACAGGGTGAGCCGCCACTGGGCCCCACACCCGAGACAAGGTGAAGTACATTTTGATAGATTTGGCCCTCCACAGGAAACCTTGCAGCAGTGTACCATGCGGGCACTCTCCAGTGTTCGGGTGCACACTCCTCTGGAAAACCTGCAGAACTGCCCCAGGAGCTCATTCCCTAATGGGTCACCTGGTGATGACACTAAAACAGGCACAGATGGTAGAAAGAAGTACTGGCAGAAAGTACTTAAGCCAAAGAGCCGAACAGGGAAGAAAGAGCTTAGTTTGTAAACATGAGGAAACAGAAAATCGAGGGAACAAGAGCTACTCTGCTAAGCTCCCTCGGAAGGCAAGGACGTGTGCTACTCTTGAGGGCAAAAGTGCAGGGAGGCAGCACTGTTAGCTTAAGCTCATCGACGGGCACTGGATACATCAGTGGGGAGGAGGGCTTCCATACCTACTCAGCCAGCTATTCTTCACGTCCAACCAAGACGTGATGAAATGAAGGCCTCGCCTCGTACCAGAGAGATGACCAATCCAAACCCTGATGCTTGTGCTTGTTAGGGTTACTGTTAAGGCAATAAACAAACAAACAAACTTAAAAAAATTCGGAGCACAAAATCTATAGGCTCAGGGATAAATAATGGTTCTTAGTTTACAAGGATAATCACAGCCTTGTACTCTTATTTCCAGTGGTCACACACTTGAGGCTTCAGCTGCAGAAAGTGGTTTAGATACTCATCAAACAAACCTACTTAAAAAGTGAGAATATAATATATGTGTGGAAGACTCACGTCATTCGTGTATGACGCACGTTGGTGTAGTGTTTGTGCACAGGTGGTACACGTGGGCAGTGTTGGTGTGCATGTGTAGAGGCTAGAGGGTGACTGTCTTCTTCAGCTACTCTCCATCTTGTTCTCAGAGACAGGGTCTCACACTGAACCTGAACTCACTGACGTGGCCAGGGTGGCTGGCCTGTGAGCTGCAGGACCACTGTCTTCCCAATATCTGGGGATCCAAACTCAGGTCCGGATGCTTGTATAATAAGCATTTCACTGATTGCTTATCTCACTAGCCCTCAAGTCTGGTTTAATGAGATACAGAGAGACAAGACTTGAGCTAGAAAGCAGTAGCACATTCTTAAAAAACAAAAAGCAGTTATGTACAGGAGCAGCTGATATTGTCAAGACTTCAGCAGTGTCAATTATGAGGTACTCATGCCAGCATCTTTACTGACACATGAATTTAAGCTTTATAACAATCACTTTCACTGCGACATGTATGTATGTGTACTGTGTGTGGTGATCACAGACAGCTTGTTAAAGACTGTCTTCTTCCACCACATGGGTTCTGGGGACTGAAGTCACTGGGCCATCTCACCAGTGCCCAAACGATCACTTTTACAGATAACTATGGTCTTGCTCACGAAAATTAAAGAACACAGAAACAAGAAGCTAACATTCAACAGTAAGGAAAATAAACACACTAGGAAATCACCAACATAGCTCTATAGTGGGCTAATGCCTCCTGATCACCTATGTTAGCTGAGCTGACCAACTTCTAGATGTTAAAAGGCCCTAACCTTCACACTTAAAGAGAAATCTCAAAAAGGGAGCTCACCCGTCTTGTGCAGCAGCAAGCAGAGCCAGAGGTCAAGCTGAGTTTCTCATCATTTTCAAGGATGAAAAGTAAACATGTACAGAAACTAAAAAGTGTACTGGACACAGCAGTATCTGTGCTACACAGTGCCTGTAGAGGCAATGATTCTGCTTAATTTTAAGTGGTGACAGATACCATGTGGTGTAATCAGAAAATAGGACTACAGAGCCTGCCCTGACTGCAGCACAGCGTCTGTGTTACTCAGGACCAACTGCACAGTAGTTGGCATTTACCCTCTCCAGCTCAAGGATGTGCTCGATGTACACTGAACAGCGGCCACCACCCTCCACTTGTGTTCTATCCAGATGTCCTGCTCATCTCCACTCACCATCTGCACTCTCTATTGCTGTGTGAGAGACCCTCAGTCTTGTGCACTCAGAGCAAAGCCCTCCACATGGCAGCTGGCCTGCTCTGATCAGCAGGGAACATATACTTCAGGTCAGTACTTTTTCTTTGAAGGGCCAAGTATGCAAAGCATATCACCTCAGTCCTAACTATTCAGCTCTTGGGGCTACAAGTCAGTGTGCAGCTTATTTTCTAATATGGATAATGAAATTTGAACCACATGGAACTATACATATAATGAACATTATTTCTCGTTTTGATTACTGTTAAACTGGCATCTAGAAAATCCTTAGCTCATGAACCCTCAAGCAGAAAACCAGGGTCAGATCTGCCGACAAGCATGAGCCTGCTTCTCTCTCACATCAATCAGCATCCTTGATGTCTTCCTCAGTGTGTTCACTTTGTAGTCAAACAAAAAGTTAATCTATCACAAAATACTAGATACCAAGAAAAATACTAGCCCAATCTTGTCTCGCTGCCACTGTGCCTCCACCTGAGTGCCTCACAGCGAAACCCACAGGCGAGAATATACACAGTAAGAATGGCTCTCAAGTCTTCAAACTACCTTGACAATTAAGAGGCTAAGAATATTGTGCACTTCCACATCAAAATTAGAATAAGCACTAAAATCCCTTCAAAATGTGGGATTTTACTTTTTAAGTGTTAGGGATCAAATCCTGGTCCATACACACAATACGCAATCCATCTTGACTATACTTGGAGTCAAAATACTAATTTTAATAAAAGAAGCCTAGGTCTTTAAATTCTATTTTCATATATGCTTGCTATGATCAACCCACATATCAACATTAGTGTGTTAACAGCTGAGACAGCACTCTTGTTTAGAATAACCAGTTCCCAGTCTGAGGCAGTATCTCAGCTTTCCATGCCCTTGGAAGGTGGGCCCATGAATGAATGAATGAGACCGCTTGCTATGACCTTTATGTCCACTTTAGTTTGGGTCAAGCTTATTAACAGTCCACCCCTCCAGTCTGGGATCCACCAGCACTCATGAGAGTCTTCTATGACCACACAGGACTAACTGGGTCATATAGACACAGCCTCTAATCAATAGAGATAAACTATCTGGGAGAAATGGCTACACTGTTTTAAAGAATGATCTTATCTACTCTTTTTGGTCCTAAAATCCATATAAAAACATTAAAATGGGGTCTATTAAAAATTCTAGTCTTGCTGAAGCTTTGAGGTTGCCTCTGAGAAGGAAGTCTGCGAGACCAGACTTTCCTGCATCTGAGTTCAGTCTGCTGCAAACACAACACTGTTTGTGCCTATCAACTCCAGCTCTTTATCCCCATCAAGAGGACAACAGTTCCCTCCCTGGCCAGGCCATCCTCAGCAGCACTGACATCAAACCTAGGGCCTTATACATGCTTGGCAAACTCTCGACCTCTGAGCTACATTCCCAGACCTTTTGCCAATCTTTCAGAATCAGAAAACTCTAACACAGGAAGAGAGGATAATCCTAGCTACAAATGAAATATTTTGCCAAAGTGGCAAAAATGAACCAACCTGTCATCAAACACAATTTTCTGTGAGAACATTTTGAAAGGAGCATTAAATTTAACTTGCACAAGAATTACTCCCAAGGAACTGTAGAAGTGATCACCGCAAAGACCGGCTACCCCTTTGATTTTCCACTTACAGTGTCACAATACCAGAGAGAGAAGCTGTTCCAATGCGTGTTTATTTACAATAATAACCACAGGTCAGGAAATAAGTAAAATAGTTTTCAGAACTAAAGGTGTTACATCACCTTTGTGATACTTTCTTGTGCTAATGCCATGTGACAATATAAAATAACCACAATTTTTATATAATAATATTTCTGTTAAAATTCTGATCTGAATTTAGCTATTGTTAGTTTACAAATAAAAAGGTAGATATCGTAAATTAGGGTAAGCAAAGCATGCAAATCTAAAGAATCTATATCTGAATTCCTAGATTAGCATTAAAACCAATCACCGCAACAAATACCTCAACAGTATGCTTGTGTGCAGAAGGGAAGCCATACTGAGCATTCAATGCCACAACCGTAAGGTTTCGGAGAAGCACCTGTGGCAGTTTCAGCAGTTTCTATGTGAATGCTCCCCCTTTCTAGGATTACTTGAAAAAAACCAAGTCAATTCGAATTACGTAGCTGTAAAACATTGACATGTGTAGTTTTTACAGATTTAGAATCTTCTGTGTGACTTAAAACGGGCATGGTTCATACACAGGAAACGTCAATCATAAGGGATCACATTTGCAGGCAAGACTGGATTAAAAATACATACACACACATGAGGTGCAGGAGCAGTCAGAGCTGGGCCACTGGTGTGACCACCCTGACCGCCTTCGTGCCGTCTCTAACAGTTACATCCAGTAACTTTAGCATGAAGCCAACGTATGTCAATATTTCAACAAAAGTTTAACAGTATGGACTAAAAACCATCAACTCACGATTCTCGTTACTTTAAAATTTGGTATGCTGTATCGCAAATACATTAGTAACTATTCCTAGATGGAAATAAGCAAATAAATGGAATCATTAAAAAAAGATAAAAAAAAAAAAAACATTTACTAAACGTCCATTTGTACAGACAAAACATTAGCAAACATCTGTTATTGCAGTAAAAGAAATACAGGTGTATTTTTAACCCTTTGGTATCCAAACACATAATCATGAAGACTTTCATAAATGCACTCTTCAGTTAACAAAAGGAAGAAACTATTTTTAAAAAGTTTCCACCTGAATAAGTTTGGTGCCAAGTTTTCATTTCAAGTTCAACATTGCTGAGGACATGTAGCATTGCATGTGAGCCACAATCATGATATTTAGCATGTTCTAGTGCAAATTAGCAGAAACACTGGTATCTGGAAATTGTAGGTTTGTTTTGAAAACACCAATTTAATGTAATAGCAACAGTTAAAGAAATAGTGAAATCAACTTATCTAAGTTATTAATAAAGTAATTTGTATAGTGATACATAAAGTCTGTCAACTCTCTCTGAAGCCCTGTTACACACTGACTGTCCCAGACCTACTCAGCTGTCTCTATCTTACAGTTCCTGGATGGAGGAAAAAGCAACAGCAAGACCAAAGAATCTGTGGTAGGGACAATCAGAAAAGGGGCAAGCATGTGAGGTCGCAGAGTACTAAAGCATCAGACTCATTCAGTCATGATGCTGAGACATCTATTCTGAAAGATGAACACATTGAACTGAATTAACCACTAACATCTGAAGTGAATAACTAACACAGTAAATCTTGGTTTTGCCCAGAAAAAAAAGTTACATCGTGATATGTGATTGTACTAGTGATAGCCCTGCCTCTAGGCAGAGACCAGGTGAACCAAATCCACAGAAGCCTAACAGCCTCACCGCAGCCTAGAGCTGTGGCCTACTGTCACGTTTAGAGCTCTGTCACAGACAGATGACTGAGCCCACCTCAGCAATGGGCTGCTCGCTTACAGTTGAGGGCGGAGGTGAAGGAGCCCCTGTACAGTGTGCCACAGACTCTGCTTATCTCAGCCCATCGCTGCTTTTTCAGCTGTCTAGTGAGCAGCAGGCAAAAAGGCTGCTCTTGGGTTAACAATAATTATTTCAAAGGTACCCCACCAGACCTACGATAAAACACACAATTTCTAATGAAGTCATGCTCTACAGAGGGAGGAGACTGGTATCAGCCCTGCCTTCCACATCATGAGACTGATTCAGAAGAAAGCGCAAATATGCATGTGTGAATGTCTTGATTCTTTCCAGAGGAATAAGGAAATAATATTTTAGTATCGGGCAGCCTTGGAAGCATTGGTTCCCTCAAGAAAGTATAGTTATCTAAAATGCTAAAGGCAAGGCTAACCCAAGGCTCAGAATCTGCTCTTAGTAACTAACAGACGTTAGTGATAAAAGGGTTTTAAACATTAACATAGCAAATGTTTGTCTTTTTGCAAAATCACATTAAGACTCAACCTGATCTTGTTAGTCTCTTAGCAAAAGAAACGGGGTGGCTCTTCCTGTGTTGGGACATGCCGCCTTCTACCTAAAGGCTAAGAGTAAAGTCGGCAGCCAGCACAGGTGAAGAAGTCGAGAACCACCATAGTTCAACATGCTGAACTGTGCTCCTTTAAGTTCACAAGCATTCCGTATACCCACAGAGCTGAGATTTGATCCTGTGTATCTGGACTTTAGGTGTCAACAGTGGCAAGTACTGACAACTACCATGTAAGCCGGAAACAGAAGCTCATGTGGAAAGATAACTTGGCACCAAAACTCAAGATTTAAATTAAGAGAAGAAAACAAAAGTCCATTAGCATACTCACGTGTGGTGCTAGAAAATTAATACGATGCACAGCTGCTGAAATGTGTTATCTTACAGTTGCAACCTACATTAACAAGTCAGTCACAGAACAAACCCTTCTAGCCATAGACACTTAGCAGCTACCCTCATCATCTACCTGATGACCGAAAAAAGCACAACTTTAGTCTTTGGCCACTTTAATGTAGCAGATATATAAAAAGCAGAGTAGGAATTAAGAGCAAAATCATTAATTTAAAAATAGCAGTATGAGGTAGCTTTTAACCTATTCACAGGAGAAGGAAAGTTTTTAATCTCCTAAATATTATAGATTATAAAAGGAATTCAAAATCTGACCCATTCTGAAACGGAAAATATATTAAGTGATTTTAAAGAAGCAAACTAATGCTAAACCCCGGTCTTAGGGGAAAGAAGATCTGCTGTGTGCTGGGACATCTGGCCATGTAAGCAGCAGTACAGGGACACAGACCTAGGCACTACTACTTGGGAGAGTCAAACTGCTTACAGACAGACTAAACAGGATAAATTATAAAAGACACCAAGAAGCAGCTTTCAGTTTAGCTTACTGGAAAATCCAACATTTTCTCTAGATGATAAACTGAATAACCACATACACAATAGCAATAATGATTACTTGTGTTCTAAATCCAGGCCAAAGACTTCTAATTTTAAGTATTGCTTTTGCCTAGGTAGTTCACACTAAATGTTCTTTCCAAAAAATTGTGAAAGCTCAGTCCAGGGCAGTCACCATAGTGCAGGGTCTCGAGGGGGTGGCTCCTGTACTGAGATGGGGGACAGACTGGCACTCGAGGCCATGCTCAGCCACACCTGGTAGAAAAGAGACACTTGAGGTCCTGTAACCAAGGACAGAATTGTAAATAAAAGATACTCATATTTTAAAATACCTACTTAAAAGAAAAAAAAAAAAAAAAAGAAAGGAAATAGTGACAGATATTTATTTATGGCTCATCGGATCAAGCTACCCATTAAAATTAAAACTACTATCTTTGTAATAGAATGTTCAGGACCAATTAAAGTATAATTTAGAAAAAAAAAGCTATTTTTAAATCCCCAACTTTAATTGTCCATTATTTCCATAAATGATAATTAAATAATTTTATCAATTGTTATATAGGACTGTATTTATAATCAAAGCTTGTTATTAAAGGTCTAAGTCTTTAAATATAAATACAGAGAATAAAACTGATTCTATAACTTTAAAAAAACAATTGAGAATCATCTTAAATGTTTCAAGATTATATAATACATTCACATTATCAGGTTGTTTTTACATTACCTTATATCACAGCTAAATATAAAGTTACAAGGGTCCTTAAAATGTAGCAGCTAATACATGCCATACATTTTGTTTTTGAGATAGGGTCTAACAATGTTAACTCAGGGGGGTCTCAAAGGTCTATTCCTGTCTCCGCCTCCTGAGTGCTTGGATTCCTGCCATGTGCTACTATGCTTGGGCAACACAGGCCATATTTATAACATTAACATCCAAGGCCAAACTAATGGCCAAATTTCCCAATAAAGTAGGAACCAGAAGCCAAGACAGTGACTAAGCTGAGCTCTGGACAGACATGCCTACAGGAGCCAATACATGGTTTTGCTCCTCAGGACCTATGTTCAAAAATTTATCATAATACATAGTCAGAACAACAAAATGGAAACCAAAGGGTTAAACTAAATCTTGTGGGTCTTATTTCATCCAAAGTCTCAATTTTCATATTTCCTGTTAGAATATAAAGTGGTTTCTAGTTGAATATTTTTTATGAATTACTCATGAAGTCACAGTAAAATTTTATCAGTTATTTTGGTGTTAGAGCTCTCTATAGCTTACACTCATGTTTTAGGGGTGAAAACCGCATCCATTTGTTAATGCTGTGAACTGCAGAAGAAAAGTTTTACACTGCAAAAAAAGTTAAACAAATGAATATCATACCTAAGTAAACGTATAATGCTACGGCTAAGATAACATTTCTGCACTAACACATTCACACATTAGCACTGCTCTAACAGGTGACAGACTCCAGCTCACAAAAATTGCACTAAAGGACATTCTAAACTAAGCCCTCGGCCTCAAAGATGGCAAGCACCTTATGTGTGCAGCTCCAGGTTACTAGAAGCCATAATCACTAGGTGGAAGGAGGCTTTACATGAAGCCTCACATTACCAAGGAAATCCAGACTTAGAAACAGTCTTCGCAACTGTGAGGCATGCTACTCTAATTCAAGCTCTCCTCCCACCGCACCCCGTTTGAAATTCGAGCCTGGTAAGCCAAGTGTGAAAACCTGCCACAGTGACACACTACTCAGTGGCAAAGTCAATGACATCAAGTTCCAACAGTCTTACTAGCCTGTTCTTTTCACTCCACTCTGCTGTCACACTCTGAGCACGGGGAAATAGGCCTACATCTGTAGTCAACCTAACACAATTTCCTCACTAACACCTGATCAAAATGGCCCAACTACATTACTAATTTTAGAAACAAACTTTTAAGGCTTTCCCTACTCTAAATGCTACTTCTGGATCTAGCACCTTGACCACATCGCTAAGGGGGAGGGATAATTGAAGGTACTTACTCGGCGTGAGCCCCGTTCCCTACCAGGGCACTGATGCACTCCAGGCTCCCCGAGCGGGCCGCCTTGTGAATGGGAGTTTCCCCCTCACAGTCCTGAAACAGAGTGCACACGCTCAGATTCACCAAATTGTTCACGGCGAGAAGAAGTAACTAACACAGCCTTGCTCCATCTTTGGAACAGTACGTAGTTTACCTCTGAAAGGAAGTTGAACGCCAGGCAGCATTTAGTTACAGGATACTGACAAAGACCTGGGAGGCATCCCATGTTGGGGTGTGAGTGCCAGTCATGCTTTACCAATCATTTTATCCTGGAGCTTGGCACAAATGTGTATAGAAACTCACTATAACTACCTTCTGACCAATAAAAACAGATTCATATTCAAATAGCCACTCAGGCCAAAAGAAAGCTCTCAAGCCATTAAAAAGTTCAACCTCCCAAATATTCCTCTACAGCTTCTATATAGTGCTAAAGCCCACAAAACACAAGTGCTTGTTTTGAACTCTCTATCTTGAACTGAACTGTATTTAAAAAAAAAAAAAAAAAAAAAAAAAAACCAGTCAAGTCAGAGGATGGGATAAAGAGAAGAAAATACCTAAGCTGGGCAGGGGGGAGCTTTGTAGTGCAAACCGACCTTCAGTATGGCAAAGACATTGGAGGCACAAAAGGAAAACAGATTGAAGTGAGCACTCACTCAGAGAGGCCACTGTGGAGTGTAACAGTCATTAAAAAAAAATATGAATTTGCTTAACCTCTAGCCCATTTTTGGTTATAAGAACCAAAAGCAAAAAGTAAGCTGATGAATGCAAGCAAGAGGAGACACTTCTGTCAGACACTCATCAACCGCTGTCTAGGAAACCCCAAGGGGAGAGGTTTGCTAGTACCTGAATGGATCCCAGCTCAAGGTTTTTGGGAACAGCAGTTGGCAGTACCTGTACCCACATCATTATGGGATAAAGAAAAAAGGCAGAAGCGGGGCAACTACACCGTTGGGAAAGGTTCATACATGAATAAATGTAGCAGGATGCCCAAGGTCCTTCCCGTACTTCCATCAAAAGTGCCATACTGCTTTACAGCAAAACAGAACCAGGCTGACTGCTGACAGCGCAGGGCAGGGCGGGGGCCCACTTAAATGGCTCCAAACAGACTTAGAAGAGACACAAGGGTCTCATCAGGAAAAGGTGTTTTTGTTTTTTTGTTTTTTTAAAGAGAAACAGCAGCTGGACATGGTGGTGCCTTTAATCTCAGCATTTAGAAGGCAGAGGCAGAGACAGGCGGCTCCGAGTTGAAGGCCAGCCTGGTCTACAGAATGAGTTCCAGGACAGCCAAGGCTAAACAGAGAACCCTGTCTTAAAAAAACCAAAGAAAGAAATAAAAAGAGAAACAGCAAGCCATAAGTCTAAGAACTACTTACTCACTCAGATGTTT